ATGGATGATGGATAACGTTAACAGTTACTGAATAATGAACTGGTTTCATTCCTCTCCTGTCGCTGCCTGAACCCGCAGAGTCTTCATCCCCAGAGTCAGAGTCCTGGTCGGAGCCTTCGTCGGTCTCTTGAGACTTGAGCTCTAGTGATGTAAACAAACGTCCCTCTGGCCTTCGAGCTCTCACTATGGTTAGAGTTAGCTAATAGGACTGCTATAAATAGATAATAGCAGCTAGTACAGTTAGCATAGAAAAGGTTTCTGTTGCCACAGAGTTTGACGTTATTTCTTTTTCTCAGACTTATGAAAAGTGGGTCAAATAAGACTCAGTGGTACTCGATTAATATTCCCACTTTGTGATATTTTTTTCAGCCGGGTACCCTCTGACATTTTTAATGGAAAGAAAAAGGTTATATAAACACTTCATTACAGATGTTTAAAATTAATAAATTCATAGCAAACCATTTTTTTTGTCTTCGTGCAAAAACACAAAGACGGCATTAAGTTTAAATGTGGTTCATTGAACCTACAGTGTAATTGTTTTAGGAATTATAAGACTGATATAACGTTTTTTTTTTAATGTCAGATTCCCCCTGTAGCACTCAAACACCCCCGTTTGAGAACTGCTGCTCTGACTAACACTTTAGGGGCTATTGGGGCAGGGTGGGATGCCCTGGTAAGTTGGGACTTGAACACGATGATGGATAGAGCTGGTTCTTCTTTATGTATTCCCGTGTGTCTGTGGACCAGTGGATGTTACTCCTCACACTGGGAGTTGCTCATTAAGATGATCGCCTGAGGCTTTAACGGGGGAAAACTAGAGCGTGAGAGGCTGCATGAAAGAAGGAAACTGTGAGCTGAGCTGTTATTTCTTCCTCCTCAGGGAGTCGGTGCATGTGTTGTCGGCCGCGCTGCTGCAGCTCGACGAGTGTTTTCATTCAGATTTTTTATTTATTTGCAATATTTAATGAACTAGATGGACAGTGAGCTTCGTACCCTTTTCAGTGTGCTCGCTGCCAAAGCAATACAGACTGTATCTGAACTCAGCGCTGACCCCGACGAAGAGCAGAATCCCTGTTGAAGAAGATCCTCCTCTGGTGTGTGTGTGTGTGTGTGAGTTTGCAGCTGCATGTTTTCAAGAAATGTACTTGTTATCTTTCTAAAGCCAATAGAAGCGTCCAGTACTGTATTCACGTGTAAGATAACGCTGGCGCTGGAATCAGCTTTTGTACAGTATTAGCTTAAAGGAGCTCTATGTAAGAATTGGGCACCTGTCGAATCGATGCTCCAAACAAATTTGGGGCAGCGTATCGGCAGACAGTCAGGGTGTCCACTGGAGTTGTTCCGATACCGAAACAGTATCAGGAAATCCTTTGATACCGCCTAAACTCGGCGAGTACATTGGACTGTTCACCGATCCGACACCGCGTAGTTCATTAGCCCCCGAAACAGGACCCAGCTACTTCCCATCAGGATGAATCGGGACATAGAACAACGATAGCAACAATATCATGTAGTAGTAAACACTATTTTCTAATGCTAACAGACGATACGCAAAAAATTCTATCTATAAAATCTTATAACCAAATCTTTAAAATGTGTCTTCAACATAGATTAGCATAGCACATAGCACATAGCATATCTAGTCTGGTTAATAGATACGAGACATAAACAGTATAAAAACTAAACTTAGCTAATTTCAGCAAAATTCTATCTCACATTAGCAAGCTAATCTGAGCTAGCTAATTAGCATCTGTTTTGCTAACATTAGCTATGAGATATATCCTGTTACACATTGTTTCTTTATCAGATGTCAGTAAACACGTCGGGATGCTACTGAATGATGCTACTTTCTGCTGACAATGTCGAGAAAGATTGCGAAGAAAAAGAAGATGCTGTTTACATTATTAGACGAAGAGAGAGATAACTCTGATTGATCGCTGACAGCTGATTTATAATGTGAATCCTAGTTTCTCAGTGTTTAATGTCATCCTGACTTACCTTACTATATTTATCTAATGTTTAATTAATGTATAATGTTTGCCGAATTTACAAGAAGGCCCAAATAAATAAGAATTTGTCGTAGACAGTATTTCACAAAGTTGTTTTATCACAAACCTCCAAACTGTCATTTCTACATATTCTGTTGATAATTTTAGTTATTTTTTGAATGTTTTTAACTAAAATTCTTACATATTGCTCCTTTAAACACAAAACAGTATTCTTGCTTATTGTTTTAAAGTCCAACTGAAATTAAATTGCATGTTTATTCCTGCAAAGATCTGTTAATATGTCCTGTGCTCCATTTTCAGAAACAATATTATTATCTACAATCATGCTGGCAGCTTTAGACACAGCAGTGTTTATGATTTATGCCTTCATCTTAATTTAACATGCTAGCATGCTGACATAAACTACTTGGATTTGGCAGCACTGTGAAGAAGGTTATTAGTCTACAGCACAAATTTAAACCAAATGTTCGACTCGGTGTGAATCCACTGATCTCTGTAGTTTAAATTAAATTGATTGATTTCACTGTAACATTTTTAAAACCATCTCAATTGACCTTCGTAAGCCCCGCCCCTTTCCTGTCCCTAGATATGCTACATGCTAAGCTAATGCTAAGCTAATCTATGTTGAAAAAACAACCACATTTTGAAAATGGTTAAAAGATGAAAGTCATAAATATAGTTGCATCTGAAGTTAGCAAATTATTATATATTATTTAGCAAAATGCTAGCCAACCAGCAAACTAACATCAAACCTTAGCTGGTTAGTTAGTTGGTTAGTTAGCTGGTTAGTTAGCTAGTATTTAGCTAGAGTACAAGAGTCTAGCGACCAGATTAATCTGCATTAATTGTTAGTTAACCTGTTACGTATGTTAGATAATGTTAACAAAACGGAAGCTAATTTGATTAATGTAATTGAATCTGCGTTAATGTTGTTTTTAATGAGGAATGTTGTTTACCTGAAATCACCTCAGTGACGTAGAGGAACTTCCTAAGGCTGAATATAAAGTTAGATTGGCTAACTGGCTAACTAATGTTTTGCTCTGTAGCAAAATATTAGTTAACTAACCAGCTAAAACTTGGTGTTAGTTAGCTGGTTAGCTAGTGCTTTGCTAGACAAGCCTAGAACATCTAGGCTAGTTAAAAAACAAAACATATACATTTAGAGTATAAAATGTTAAATAAGGTAATGTCAACAAACACTAGCTAATTAACTAACTTATCTACATTAATTGTTAGTTAGCTAGTTACATCTGATAGCTAATGTTAGCAAAACAGAAACTAATTATCTAACCAGGATTGATGTAGATAGTCGAATTTCGCTAACATTAATCTAACTTGAGATGTGACTATGTATATGTTGCTTTTATATTTTAAAAAGCTACAAAATGTGGTCTTTTCAACATAAATTAGCCTAGCATGTAGCATATCTAAGTACAGGAAAGGAGGAAGTTGACCGCAGCCCGACTGTTATTAAAGCACAGAGCAAAAGATCCATCACAAACACTCAACGCCAAAGGACCAAAGTCCTTCTTTCAACATTTAAAAATAATATTAGCGACAAATTTGAAAAGCTTTTTTTATTCCTACAAAAAGGAAGAATTTTGTGATTTCAGCTGGACTTGGAATATTTATTAAAGTACCACTCAGTATTGCCTTGTATCTGCTTGTATCTTCTATCTCTGCTCCTGTGCTGTTGTGTCCCAGTGAGATGCTTTTATTTTGAAATCGCTCGATATTAAGGGTTGAATAAAGGAAATGGTGAGACGATAAACACTGCTTGTTGTCTGAGCAGAGGGAGGGTGGGACTCTGTGAGCACTTACAGAACAAACAATAATGGAATCAGA